TCGTAGAACCTGTGGTGTTTTGAAATGTTCTAACTGTAACTTTTATACTTACAGCAGCGAGGAACTCACTAATCATTTCAAGAAGAAGCATTGTCAACATAATGTTAAATTATGTGCTCAGCAGTCTCCAAACACGCTTCAAGAGAAGGTAAAATTTTTAATTTTTAAAAAAAACAACGTAGAAATTACTATGATTATTAGTTTTTACTGAATCTGAAAAGTCTAAGCATTAGTAACAAATCTAGTCAGAAATTATACAGTGTTTTCATTATTACCTGAATTGTCATTTATTTTTTTATTCAAAGGTTTTGATTGATGTTAAAGACAGCAAAAAGCGAGTTCAAATTGTCGTGAAACTTTCCATGTAACTCGATCCGAAAACCTTTAATCAACAGTAAAAACTCCCTTGGTTGCAAGCTTGCGGAGACTTAGTTGTGATAAATTTGTAGTAAAGTGCATAACAAATGCTAATGAGTATTTAAGTATTCGCCTAAAAATTGTAAATCTTGGATTTTTGGAAAACATCAACTAATTGAAAGGTTTTTTGTAGTTACTATTTTAAAGTTTTCCTTGTTTAGTGCTTGTAAAAGTTTTCATAGAGTAGAGCTTTTTTAGCAGATAATGTGGTTTGACTTATTAAAAATTATGGTTTTTTATTGTTTTTTTTTTATGATTTCAGAAAAGAAATTGATAAATGACCTGGAAAAAATGTATGTTTTACTAAACTTTGAAAGTTTCAAGATAATGATATACATCATTCCAACTAAAATTTTAGTCTAAAATAGAAATTCAGATTCAAAACAGCTTTATACAGTTATGAGGTTGAGAAAATCCTTTAAATGCTTTTAGTAAAGGATTTATGGTATTAATTCAGCTTCGTATTGTTGAACGTTTGTTGAAACGATACATTTTTTCATCTAAAATTCATTTTTCAAGTAAAAATTTGCTCAAATTGGATTCGTTTGGTAGATAGTAGATGAAGCAGAAACTGAGAAAATGCTAAAATGAGATAGAAATTCAATTTATTCCTTAGTAGTTTTGAGATAATTTTACTAAAATTTAGCTTATAAAGTATACATTGAGAAAAAATCCGACATAAAAATTCTCAAAGTCTTATATTCATGCGTAATTCATTTAAAAAAATTGTTATCACTTGATATATTAGGTACTTTTTATGAAAGATCAAATGTTTTGAGGATAACTTTTGTGAAGGAAACCCAATTCGACATCTTTTAGAAGAAGATACATAAATCATAAATCAAAAACTTTCTTTCAACATCTACATTTCGTTGCTATATACAATACACAAAACTACATACATACACAATACTACATACAATATTCAACACTATATACAATACATTACTACATTTTTACTATATAGATTTTTTTTCTTAATAAAAATTGGAAAATTACACAATTGTTCCTGTTTGCACCTTGAATTGCTTTGCTAAATCAATTTTTTGAGACTCGCTTTTTTAGAAGTTTTTATATTGTAGATGTTAGGAACTAGGTTCCCTTGCGTATTTCCGGAGATGTTCAAATTATAACTAATAGAGCTGCTCCCAATTTGTTCTTAAATCTTAAAATTGGACTTTTTATTCTCATTTTTTTTACATTTGTTTTTGATTGCCTTAACTAGCACCAGTTTTTTCTCACTTGGGTATTTTTGAGAAAATTTTTGTTACAAATTAAGAATAAAAAACTTTTGTTAATTAATATTTTGCAAGAAAAGTGATAGTTATTGATCCCAAAAGTTGTATTTTTACTTAAATAGTTTATGGTAGCAACTGAACAAAGGAACCTTAAGGAAGACATTTACAATTTTTATCAAAAATAATCAGACGGTACCAGTTCTAATTTCATCTCTGCCAGCAAATTGTTCATTCAATTGATACCATATTTGTCCTAAACTCTCTAGTTTTGACTAAATTTTTTTGCAAAAGGTGTTCAATAGCGAAAATATGTATTAAGCAGAAAGCAAGAATAACCTTAAAACATAGAACATTTCTACCGAAAAACTTGAGAAAATAATTTTTTTTTCAAGAAAATGGACAGTTATTGATCCCAAAAATTGTATTTTTGTTTAAATAGCTTACTGTAGCAATTAAACAAGGGAACCTTGAGGAAGACATTTACAATTTTTATCGTATTAACCAGACGGAATCAGTTCTAATTTCATCTCTGCCAGCAAATTGTTCGTTTAATTGATACTATATTCCTCCTAAATTCTCCAGTTCTGACTAAATTTTCTTCCAAAACGTGTTCAACGACGAAAATAAGCATTAAGCAGAAAGCAAGAATAACCCTAAAACATAGAATATTTCTACGGAAAATCTTAAAAAAGTAATTATTTTTCCCGAAAAGTGACAGTTATTGATCCCAAATGTTGTATTTTTGCTTAAAAAGTTTACTGTAGCAACTAAACAAGGGAACCTTGAGGAAGACATTTACAATTTTTATCGTAATAACTAGACGGAATCAGTTCTAATTTCACCTC